GACAGCTGTAGTGCGTAATGTAAAGCAGCAGCAATTTTAGGCCATGACCTCAGTCCTCACGCTTGCGGGATGATCTCGGGCCGTGCCCAGGTGAAACCCTTCCCCATTTCCTACCCTGTGCCAGCCCTGTTGGGCGAATCTATCAGAAGCCAGTCGTAGCTCCATCAAGCACCAGCCCATATTTAATTAGTTTGCATGCTTTGACTCCATCCATTCATAGTTCCTGATTAAAAGTTTATTTAGGGGGACACAGACTTGAAGACCTTCTTCAGGCCCACAGGGATTACATCTGGGAAAAACTGTAGGTCTTATGTGTATAATTGCAATAAGGAAATGCTCCAAATAAAAGCTTCCTGCTAGGTCTTTCTGTGGGAAAATGAAACAATTCTTTTAGGTTTACTTTAAAATCAGCGCCATATAGAAATAAGTATATTTTTTTATCGTGCTGCTTTGTCTAGAGAACATAAGGAACAGAATACGCTCAGAAAAGATGCACAAGCGTAACTAAACCAAAAGAATTGGACAGAAAATAAGCCAACATGCTCTTAAGTTCGTTTTGAACCCTGAGCACAGTAATTGCCTGTGAAAGCAGAAAGCTGTCAACATGGAGTCACGGCCCCGCGTTGTGTGCGATGCTGGAGCCGTGTGGGAAAGGCGGCATTTAACTGGCTGCTGAAATGGGGGGGTTATTTTTCATTCCTCGGGTAAGAAGTTAACCCATCCGTGCCTTGGGGAGCACTAGCGAGGACAAACTGCTGCTGTTTCTCTACATGTCCAGGTTATTTCCCTTCCTGCGAAGCCAAAACTTTTCTGTTTTTCTTCAAACTTAACGTGTTAAAGTTACATTTAGTGGTTGTACGAGCGCAGTGAGCCTGCAGGAGTGCCAGCAGCTCTGTTCTGCAGACAGTGACAAAATGTGTTTTTCCTTGCTAACATGAGCGTTTTGGTTGCGCTGCTTGTTAAGCGATGGGAAAGGTGCTGGCGCCGCTCCGTGATGCGAGTTCCTTGGTGAAAGCCCCCGACAGAGCCCCCAGGTCCTGGTGGGATGCCTCCGCTTTTCAGGATTTTCTTTCCTGGCCCTGGAAGAGGTTCACAGCCCGGCTGCAGGGCTGCGGGGAGCCAGGCAGTGTCTGAACCCCTCTGCATTTGCAAGCGTGAAGTTGTTGCAAGTCCAGTGCAGAGACTGAGGGTTTTTTCCCCTGTTGCCAGCCTGGGGGTGCAGCAATCCGGGATGCCCAACAGGAACGCCAGCACAGGCGCTCTGCCCATCACCGAGCCACATGCCACGAATACCTTGCCCAAAATTACACCATGCCTGCTCTGCGAGCTGCCCCCTGGCTCGCCTGCCAGGCTGGAGCATTTTATTTGGAGAGTCCCACCGGCACCCACAGGAGCCCGGGGGCTGCCTGTCCCTTCTCGCAGCGGCCGGGGCATGGCACAGCACGGTGGGTCAGGCATCCTCAGCCTTTGCCGCGGTTACACGCGGCTGCGTTCCTGCTGTCACCCCGTCCTGTTCAGCATCTCCTGGGGACAGTGGATGGATGGAGGTGACATGAGGGACCGGAGCTGCGGGGAGAAGGGTAAAGGGCCGAGGGGCCGTTTCTGCTCCACATATGGGAATGGGGTTTCAGCAGGATTAATTATGGATGTTGAGACCTTCTCCGGCTTCTACTAAAGATGCCGCCTTTTAATCGCGGCAGCCGCTTGCGTTTCCTTGGGAGAGGTGATCAGCAGAATAACTAATGCATTCAGCCTGGGAGGGTGCAGCATGCAGAGAGCGAGCTCCGGCTGCAGCCTGCAGCATCAGGTATAATAAGAACCGTATTGTTAATAATTGACTGTCTTTTCAATAATCTTTCCTGATAAGGGAGGCAGCCCGGGTGACAGCCTAAGCAGCGCTTAGCGTTTCGTGTTTTATGGAAAAGTTATCTATGCTATGGGAAGTAAATCATTTTATACAGTGGGCTTCAGCTGTCCTCAGAAAGGTCATATGAGATCAATGGGCTACTTTATTAGAAAATTAATCCCTCTTTTGTGCTTCTAGTTTTAAACTTGTATTTGCTTTCCGAGCAAGGTCACTGCTCAGCTGAACAACTTTTTAACAACTGGAAAAGGCATGTTTGCTGCTCCGAACCCTTCACTGCCGGCTCTCGGCACGGGAAAAGATGCCTCAGAGGGCGGCAAGCGCTTCTGCTCCCCAATGGGTTTGTAGGTGGGAGCATGAGAAGGTAACATGACAAGATGCTTTTCTAATGATAGTTTTTCCTTTCACCGTGAAGTGTTAAAGCCATTGCTGCAGTGCAGGAGAACACGACAGGCAGAGCTCGAAAAAATGTTGTGTTATAGCTAATAAGACTGTGCTAACGTGCTGCTCAGCAGGGATGAATTATCTTCTTATTTATAGGTACAGGGTTAAATGTTTCCAATTTAAAATTACTAGCAAGATGCTCTTGGAGAATGAAATTCGTATGTATTTGTCTTTGTGGTTCAGTTAATTTGTTCTTTAAATCTTCTGGGGTGTAATGCTGCTCTCCTTTCTGCTGGCTGGTGTGGATGGGGGAGCGGGCGGGTGCTTACATTGCCTGGCAAGTGGGACAGAGTAAAAGAGGGGTTAAATGTGACTATAAAGAGCCAGTGTTTGAGACAGGGCTATTTAAAAAGACAGTCCCTGCAAATGGGCTGCCCCAGGGAATAAAACCAGTTCACTCTGTGCTGTTGCCTTCTCATATATTTGCCTTCTTGATTTCCATTTCTGTATATATTTATTCCTGCCTTGAGAAAAGCAATGTAATTTCATTGAAGGTGAAAATCAGCAATGCTGTGCATGTGGTGATGTTGCCTGCCTGGAGAGGAAAATAAGTATTCTTCAGTTTTATGCAATAGGGGAAAACTCAACAAATACAAAACCCGACAGAGGGTCAGCGTAACAGGTATTAGCAGGACGGAGACCCACCTAAAAGCACTGCCCTGCCCCGAACTGTGGGCCGGACCCTGGGTGTACGGGTACGCTTCTTCCAGCAAATTACTTCATTTTTTTGTCTCATTTTTATTAAGGACAGGCATTGGAGAGCATCCATGGGGTCCAAGGAGCTGTGGTTTTGGCTCAAAGCCATCTGCCCCATGCCTGAGCTGCCCCAGGGGGGATGGGAGAACATCAGCAAGCTGGTAGGGTACATTCAACATCCTTTTACGAGGCTATTTTGACGTAGATTGGTCAAAAGAGAAAAGTCATAGTATCGATTTGGGCTGCAGAGTTGGGACCCAGTCAGCTCATAAATGAACTGATTAGATGTAATTATCTAGATATTAAAAAGTATCCTATTCACTGGCTTTCCCCCTCACCCCTCTAAATAAACGACCTAGAACAGCGCAATGTAGCTGGTTGGACTGTAGCTGGGATCTGTAAGTGCTCCATAATTGACTGTAATCGGAAAATTAAAAAAAAAATTTGAGAAAGACATTAGCATTCGTTTTGGCACGTGCTGTTTATTGGTAGGAGGAGAGAAGAAATTGCCCTTTATAGAATAAGTGCAGTTAATTGGAGAGCATGTCAGGAGGCCGCTGGTCAAGGTGTTTCAGAAGCTCGCATAGCATTGGGCAGGCGTCAGCGTTGCCGTCTGGCCGCATGAGCATTGAGGAGGTTCCAACCCTGGAGGAGCTTTTGAGAGTTTTCATGTTCTCTTTGGGTTGGGACCCTCCCAACTTTCCATCAGGGCTATACATTGACAGTAAACGTGTCTACTTGAATGACAGAACTAATTGTTTCTTTAAATGGTTTGGATCTTTCAAAGTATCCATCCCATGATAACAATACAGCAGGATTTGGCTTCGTTTTCCTGCTGGTCTTTGTTGTAGTTAAACCATGTCATGTCAGTGCTTCTAGAAGAGAATAACAGCAGTACCTCTATACTTTATATATCCTAATCTGTACTGCATATCCAGTTATCGTGCCAGATAAGGTGCTGTGGGACCATCTCTGGCCAGGAATGAAATTAGATGCTTGAAGGAAAATCCTAAACAAGCAACCTACTCTCCAAGAAACCCCCTGATTTCCCCCATAGCAGGAATTAAAAGACAGACCTTCTCACTCTGAGCAATGTTGCCCTTCTCATGCAAGTCAGGAAGCCTCCTACAGTGATGTCCAACTGCCTCAACCTCTTTCGCCCTTGCCAGCCTCCTCCCTGTGTCTTTCTAAAGGGCATAGAGGAGAGAAGCTTCACTCAGGGCTTTTCTTGGTTGTTCCCAGCCTTAATCTCCTCTCACGCTCCAGGAGGATCTCACCCATGTCCACATGATGGGAGAGAGCTGGAGGGCAATATAGACCAGGCTGGATATGAGGTTCACGATGTAGACTGTGGTAGATCTCCACCTGAAGATCTTTCCTGATATGAAAGCGATTTTTCTGTATTTTAGTGCAATTTGGTAAAGGTTTTTTATAACAGTGTGGACATGCTCTGAAATAATGGGTTTCATTTGAACAAGATTTAACATAAATTTTGAATCTTGGTTGTTATGCATTAAAAAAAAAAGTGACAAACCAGTCATTTCTGTGTATAGTTTATATCCGTTGCTGTTTGCAGAGATGTTATATTATGTTGCATATATCCAGTTTACAGGAGTCAATGAAGAGTCCTTGTGTGATCTATCTCAAGCCCAGTAGAAATTATCCTAAATGTCTGTCTTTCCTTGTTTGCAGTCAAAACCATCTGTAATGCAGGGGATATTTTATAAGAACCAGCTAACTGGGATGTGTCTATGAAGCATGAGCTGTGGCCACTGGAAAAGGAGCTATTGATTTAAGCAGCTTGAAAGTGCTCAGCAGACACAGTCGGGCTGCAGAACATGGGAAATAAGAGGGGGGTGGCCTGTGAAGAGGTGTAAGGCTGTAAGGAGAGATTAAGTTCAGATGATTGAGCTTTTTTTAAAATTAGAAGTATCTGTTTCTTTTTTTCAAGGGTGAAACGACTCATCTGCCCTAGCTTGTCAGAGGATGTTTAACTGACAGCCCGATTAGACCACACCATGGAGAAGACAGATGGTATGGAGGCTACGGGATGTTTGTTTGCTCATTTGTTTCTTGAAAAAAAAACCCAACCAAGCCCTGAAGTAATTGCCTTACCAGAAATACTGTAAATAACCTGTTTTCTATAGATACGCGCTAGGGCCAGGAGGTGAAAAATGCATCATTCATGTATTATGCAGACTTCCTAAACCACAGCAAAAACATGGTCACAGCTCTCAGTTCAGCACGTATTTGTCCTCCTGTCCTTTGCAGACAGGACAGATCTCCCTTGCTCCCACCAGCCGGGCTTTGCTCTTGTGCCATATTACGCTGCATGACGTTTTCCCTCTATCGTTCCTCTGACTTTCACGTGCTGCTTCCCATCAGAAAGGCGGCTGCATCTCGGTGGTGCTCTGTGACGAGCAGCACCGAAAGCTGTGCCAAATTCTGCCGGTCCCCACACAGCTGCTGCACCAGGATGGAGACAGAGGGAGCAGCCATGAAACCTGGTTTCTCCTGGTCGAGCTGCTCCTCCTCATCCTTATAGAGCACGGCTTGTTTGCTCAGAGATGCAAAGCAGCCCAAACCACGGTGATTTCAGGGACTTGCCGCATAAAGAAAAACAAGCAATGATGCAGGGGTTTAACTATTTAGACCCTCAAGGCTGAAATTTGGGGGCTGTGAATTTTTGCAGGCTGGATCTGACTGTATTAAGTTGTATTAAACCAGGAGCCTCAGCCTGCGCTGCTGGAGCCGTGCCGTTTGCCTGCGACGGCTGGGTGGGCAAGCACTGTCACACATTCCGTGACAATTTTCCTCAATTAAAAGCCATGCTTGGTGCTGTGCAGCCGGTCACCTTGGGCGGCACGTGTTTTGCATGGATGCGGCTGTGTAAAGCAGCCCCAGCTGGCACTGTCTGGGTCCGGCCTCTGCTCGGTGCTGTATTCATCATTTTCAAGGAATAATTTGTGACCTGGTGTTTGCTGATGAAATGATGCAATGATTTTCCTGCTTGGCGTGCACAGCACTACTTATGCCACTGAAAAGTTAAAACCAAACCAAAAGCCTTGAAAAATGTAATTGTCACAGATTGGTTCCACCTTTGTTTTTTGAGCTGGATTTATTATACATCAGGCAGCTTTTTATACCTATACAGACACGTAGCTCTGCCTGCAAAACCGGCTGTTTGCTTAGTTGCCAATTAGAGCCATGATTTCAGCAAATTTTTGGCTTCCTCAGTGCAACAATTACCTGATCCACCTCCGGAAAACTGGATCGGACCTTTGCACGTGTTGCTGCATCTCTGCGCAGTTTTACCACGAGCCTCTGCAATGACGAACTGCAGCCCCCTGCCTGCCTGAAACTGAGATGAAAAAAGCAGTAACATTTTTCCCCTGCTCTAAACATATTTTTTGTTAATTTTTTTGTTGTCTTCAAAATTCAGTCATCTCTTTTCTTTGGGTTGTTTCAGCAAATGGCCAGCCACCCAAACCCGATGGGGAGAGGGAGCAGCCCCGCAGCCTCCCCTACTCCGTGGAGACACCATATGGCTTTCACTTGGACCTGGACTTCCTGAAGTACGTGGATGACATCGAGAAAGGGAACACCATCAGAAGGGTTCACATCCACCGGAAAGCCAAGCAGCCGAAATTCAGCACCCTGCCCCGAAACTTCAGTCTGCCCGAGAACAGCTCCTGTGGATGCACATCTGCTCCCAGCAAGAGCTGGACGGCAACCTGCTCTTTCCCCCAGCGAAAGGCATCGCTGGGGGCTGAGGAGACCCCTGGTCCCCTCCTGCACAATGAGGCACCCCTTCCCATGGCCGACGAGCCGAGTTACCGGAGAAAAGCCCTTTTGGCGGAGACGTGGCGGCAGGCGGAGCTGGGGCGGCAGGAAGGCGAGCTCAGGGGGCGGCCACAGCTGCTGCGAGCCTCCAGCCTGCCCGATGCGCTGCAGCCTCGC